GACGATCGACAAGAACCCTAAATTTTTGTTGTTTCAAAATTTTGTACCCCATTAGGTTGCGCAAATCGGTGGATATGCAGATAATCGGTATGTTGTACATGGCTATGTAATGAAAATTATTTTTAGAATTTCGATATGTGCAACCACCTGACCCTGCATGATTTATTTGTACAATTTACCAAATTCAATTAATTACCTCATGTACATTCATTTTCTTTGTGAGAGAAATTTTTTGGCGTAAATACTACTTTCTTCCACTTTATTATACCCATTTTATAGATCCAAAAGAAGATTTAGAAAGAGATAAACGAAAATGTTTAAAAGGGCAGTATAGCGATTTATTATTACCTGTTGCTTTGATTTTCTACTCACGGTTTATATTAATATCATTCCCTATTTTTATACACCATAGCTATCAATATGGCACCATTAGTATCTAAGATTGAATCATTTTTATTACAAAAATCATTAGATTCTCTTTGTGGCGCATCAGCTGTTTACTTAACAATAGAAAATGACATTTTGCCCCCTCTTGAAAACATAAGAGTTATAGTGGATCGCGCTGTAAATTCGTCTCTATTAAAAATAGAAGAAGGCGAACGAAGAATCAAAGTTATGGAAGTATTATCTCAAGCAAGTATAAATTATAATTTATCATATAAACTTTGTATTATTTAATGATGATTCTATGGTAAATGTAGATATTAGTTTTGGTATGTCATAGCTAAAGGTTGGTGAATGCTGGCCCTATAAAGGCTTTAGCTCCTCTCTAACTGTGCGTGACTATCCAGCCAAAACAATGATATCTAAAATTTTCTGAAAAACACATGTGTGTAATATAAATCAGGGCCCACTGAATTGAAGTTTTACTTATTATACCGGTATTTATTATTGCATTCACCATAGGTCGAAAGCGGATATACAGTGTGTTAAGAAAAAAACGGTGGTGACAAAAAACTGCATACTTTAACAATTATGAAAAATAAATAAATAAATTTAGGTTTATTCGAAAGCTTATAAGCTGCTTTATTAAATATAAAAATTTCAATATGAAATTCTATCACCATTTTTCTCCAAAATCGATTCACATCTATGTTTCATGGATAATACCAAATTATTCACAATATCCTGAGGGATTGCCTCCCATTCTTCAGTCATAAATTGAATTAATTGATCAATATTTTTTGGCATTCGTTTTTCGACATTATTCTTCATGATCTGCCACATGTTTTCAATAGGGTTGAGGTCCAGACTATTAGATGGCCAATCAATTGCATGGATAGAGTTTTCGGTAATGAATTCTTTAGCGACACGTGACATGTGCTTAGGGTCATTGTCTTGTTGCAGATGCCAATTCATTCCATACATGTTTTGTGCAGTAGGCAGAAGCTGAGTCTGTAATATGTTTACATAAAATGGCCCATCCATAATATTTGTAAAGCAAAACAAGGGTGTTTTTCCGCTTTGAGAAATGCCACCCCATGCCATTACCTTTTGACGAGTTTTTGGTAATCTTCGTATGGGTCTTTCGCCATTTTTATGCCATCGATGAACCTTATTCCGAAAAAGATCAAATGCTGTCTCATCAGTGAATATTGTTTGATCCCAGTTATCATTCATATGCACTTGCGCCCAAGTTTTTCTCATCTCAATGTGCCATTCTGTGAGCATCAGCGTTCCTAGAGGTACAGAGCTTTTATATCCTTTTTTTTTCATATGTTCCCAAATTGCAACGTGTGAAATAGAGATATTTTGACTATTTTCTATTTTAACAGCAAGTTGGCGGGCAGAAATAGCAGTATTACGGTGCACATGTTGTCCGATAGCATGCGACACACTTTGTGTAACCTTTGGTTTGCATCCATTTCCTCGCTTATGCTCAACAGTACCTGTTTCTCTGAGCTTTTTGAGATTACGTTCAACAGTGCGAAGGGGAATACTTGTTACTTGTTGTATTTCCTTTGCTGAACGAGTACCATTGAGCCAGTAATGGAAAATTGCCTGTCGTTGAGCCTCAAGTACTATATTAACCATGTTTGTAAAGGTGGTAGGAAGAGAAAACAGAGGTAAAAAAAAAATCTTCTTCTGAAATATGTTTATTGATATTGTAATTGATTGTAGATCGGATGTAATTAATGATCAACAATCTGTTTTCTTATTTATTTGCAAAAAAATATTAATTTATTTACCACCGTTTTTTTCTTAACACACTGTATTAGTGTTCAAGGTTTGAAGGCATTAAAAGTACTTAATATAGAGAAAGATATTCTCCCAGACAATAATCAAGAAAAAATAGAAGAAAACATTAACGAATTAAAAAATTTGCTTGAGGTAATTATCAGTTAGTATAAGTATTTTTTTCGAAAACTAACAAAGTTGTACATTTAGCACCCTACATCAGAGGCAGAGGCAAATCTTTATGGGGCGCTCAAGCAAATTCTCGTGAATATTTGTCCTTCAAGTCTTACATGGAAAGACCCGGAAGCTAGTATGGTTCTTAGTGATACTTCAGACATTGTGAAAAATTTGGGGCGTAGACAAAAGAGTACCTTTTTAGAACCTAAGGAGAATATGAGATGTGTTGTGCTGGAATCAGTTGTAGCAAAATGTGATGAATCTGTAAATAATTTTACTAATTCGAATACAACGTGAGTTATGGGGAATATCTTTCATAATAAAAATTGGAAAGAAACTGAGGCTGAACTTGTAAAAGTAACTGATCGCATTCTTGATACACTGTAAGTAAATTCATATCTAATTAGCATTACTGGACTTTCTACATATTTTAATCTTCTTTTATTAGTGGTGAGATATGGAGCAATCCCACATTTTCAACCAGTGCATCTCGTAGTGAGCAGAGTGAGGGGACATATATAACTGATGTTATAATTCCTCTGCTTCGTTCAACTTTGGGAAATCTTCCAAATGGTTACATATGTCTAAGTACAGTGGAACGTCAAAGTTTAGCAAGTAAAACTCGACGTAATATAGGAATGGATGGGACACGCATAGGTAAGAAACCTGATATCATGGGCTTGCTAAAAAACGATGAAAAAAGTATAGAGTTGCTGTATACCGAGTCTTTGCGCATCATCTGCAGTAAGTCAAAAAAAGATGATGATGATGTGAAACTATGGAGAGAAACTTTAGACAGGGCGAGTTTCATAGGCTTATCATGTAGACCCTCCAGTAATCAGTTCGGAGTTATAGGGATTCAAGTTGCCGGTACGGTTATGAAATTAAATGTTCTTGTGAAGGACTCAGCTGGCATACCGTGGTATTTTCATCTTGAACACGCCGAAATCCCATTATCTCCTCATGCATTACACACAAGATCTCTTGTCCGTTTATTATTAACCTTAAGAAATGTAATGATTGTGAATAAAAGCTTGCTGTTGCAGGCATTAGAACAAGCCAGATCTAATCCACCACGAAATCCACATTTAAGCCCTACTATTTCATCACCGCCCCATAATAAATAATAGGTAAGTATATAACAATATTCGGTTAGAGTTTTCGGTTCATATATAGATATTACTATCACGTTATTTCCTGTATTTTTTTATTTTTATTATATCAATAAAGTGGCTTGATTTCACTCATATATATATAATCGTGTCTACTTTCGCTTGTGTATTTTTTTTTCTTTTTAATATGAACACGATTCATTTGGGTTTTTATCAGATCGAGATCATACTGGTCTGAATCCGTGGATTCTGAATTGTCTATCAATGGAATTATACGTGCTGTTAAAGCAAAGAAGCGTGATTGGTAAACATATGAATGAAACCTCACAAGGTTTTGATATTTGCACAATTAATTTTATTATTATTATTATATAGAATTCTCAAGTTTTCACAAATACGATATGGATCAAATTTTTGATTTTAAAGCAATGAAAGATGCCGGAGTTAATTTTTCAGTGAAGTACCTTGATGAGGCAAAGCCTCAAATCCCTGATTCCTCAGATGGTAATATACCTAGAGATTACGAAAAAACAAGCGAATTTCGTTATGTAAAAAAATTAGTAAAAACACTTAATAAAAGTAAATTTTTAGATTATTTTGATAAATGTCGAGAATGTAATAAATTATTTCATGACCCTGATTTAGGAAGTTATTGTAAAAAACATATACTAAATAAACGAGGTTGTTGTAAAAATCATTGTTGTATTGATGAAGAAGCTGGACATTGTATATTACATTGTATAAAAAAATTGAAACTTATATTAATAAATGCGATAGTAATTAGTTATACTAGCTATTTCCAGCTAATCTAGATATCCCCATATAAGTTGTAGATATCCTCAATTTCATCATATTCTTGTTTAGGTACTGGAATAATTGGTCTATTATTCATTATACCATAATGATCTGATGCTTCTCGATTTATTTTGTGCCTTAATGCTAATTTACAAAGACAGTTACATTTAGAGCGAGTCTTACCTTCGTGGATTATAATAGCATGATCGGAACCTATTTTTCTTAAATACGATGAAC